TTGCTTCCAAAGCTCCCAATGTTAGGCTGATATCCCAAGGACGTTGTGGAAATTAAGAGAAAGGTCTGTTTACACACACAAAGCCAGTCACCATGGTGTACTTTACAACACTCATAACTATTGATCTTTCCAAGCCTCCTCACTCCCACCTTCCTTAATAATAATCAAAATAATAACAAAAATAACGGTAATAATAATAATCCTTGCATTTGATGTAGCTCTTATCACGTCGTCAAACTCACTGTAATTTTTGTTATATTTCTGTCTATGAATGTGGAATTCACTGCCGGAAGCTTGGGTTGAACAAGGGAGTTTTACAACAACTACAAATTACATTTATATAGCTCCTTTCATGTCACAATGACATTCCAAGGCTTTAACCCCGAACTGGGGGTGGAATCAAAAGGGATGGAGGGTAGGGGGGTGTGGGAGTGTGACCGGAAGGCACAGTCAAAGACAAAGGTCTTGAAGGAGGTGAGGGAGTGGGCGAGGCAGAGGGATTCAGCGATGGAGTTCCAGATGGTGAGGGCTGAAAACTACAGAACACAGAACAGGGAATGTATTGAAGAGAACAACAACAACAAAATTGCATTTGTAAAGTGCGTTTCATGTTAGGAGGACATGCCGAGGCGCTGAACAGTAGGGGATCAGGACCCAAAAGTGGGGAGTGGGGGGTGCAGGGTTGAGATGAGGGAGGGCAGAGAGGTAGGAGGGCAGCTGAAGGCATGGTCGAAAAGGAGGGTTCTTGAATCGTGCCTTGAAGGAGGCAATGGAGGGAGCAATGCAAAGGCATTGTAGGATGGAGTTCCAAAGGGTAGGGGTAGAGAGGCTGAAAGGCCGGCTGCCGATGGTAGGGCAGGTTGGGTGGGAAACATGAAGCGGGCTGGACAGGTTGATAGGGGTTAGCAGGTCAGAGAGGTAGGAAGGGCCAAGGCTGTGGAGGGCCTTGAAAGTGAGGACGAGGATTTTGAATTCTATCCTCTGAGGGATGGGGAGCCAGCGGAGCAGGGCGAGGATGGGGTGATGGGGGTCCCAGAGCCTGGTGCAGGAGAGGACACGAGCTGCAGAGTTCTGGATGATCTGCAACTTGTGGAGGGAAGAATTGGGGAGGCCGACAAGGAAGGAGTTTCCGAAGTCGAGCTTTGAGGTGACGAATGCGTGTATGAGGGCTTCAGCGGCCTGAGGGGTGAGGCAGTGGTGGAGTCGTGCAATGTTGCGGTGGTGGGGGAAGGTAGAGCGGGTCTTGGCACGGATATGGGGGAGAAAGGACTGTTGAGGGTCAAACAAGACTTGATGAATACATAAGAGAGAGGGGAATAGGAAGGGTGGAGGGGCTTGTGTGGACTATAAACCCTAGCAAGGACCAGTTGGGCCAAATGGCCTGTTTCCATGTCACATCACTCTATAAATCCTATTCACTATTCAAAAAGAAAAAGGGAGTTTCTCCCAATGTCCTCGCCAACACACCCGCAGATACAATTGATGATTCACTTCCTGGCTGTTGTAGGTCACTGCTTTATACAGAGGTGTTGCTACATTTATCTACAAAATACACAGTTCCTGCACTCTACAGAACACAAGTACAATATTGTTATCAATGTTGAATGGCCCTTTGTCACTCTCTATTCTTATCCAACGGGCAGATGAGACGCACAGAAATAGCGCTGCATTGGTGCGTCATCTTAAGACGATGTAATTCCAAGTCCCGACTTGAGGTTTGAACCCACAACCTGACTCAAGAGACAAGAGTGCTACTGCTGCGCTAGGCCGAGACACGATATGATTGCAACTCAGCGTTAATCCAACCCCACCATGATCTCTCGCTGCGTGGTATTGGTCTTACAAATGAGTCACAAATGTGACCTTGGCTTTCGCGTTGTGTCAGAAGTCTTTAGGTTCACTGTGTAATGGGACAAGAACACCAGCCATTGGGGGATGTCTAAATACAGAGCCTTCCATCTCTTCATCTGTCTTTGTCTAATACTGAATTGAGGATCAACCGCTGGAATGAACTGCTGGAATGAATGAGGGAGAGAGAAATAGTGCTTCTGAGTGGGGGGAATGGTCTTTAATGTCGTTCTGTGTGTACTTGGATGCACGAATCGTGAGTAAATATTGGATAAGAACTTCTAACAACAGAGTTTATTGATTCCTTCAATTTCACCAATCTTCCCACCCCGCTGTCATACATAATATACCGTGTTATACATCATTCCCATCAAAGAGAACAACCCACAAATCATATTAGTGAAATATATCTGCAATCCCCTGTCACCCTGAGTGTAAAATAAAAGCCTTCCCATCTTTTCAAAACAAAATTAACTCTTTCAGATTCCTGCTCAATGCTGCAAAGAGCTCTTTGTGTGAACCAATGCTTCCTTATCGCTATTCCAGGACATCACAGTCTCAGCTGACATTCTAGTGCAGTGCTGTGGGAGTCCTGAATTGCCATCTCTTCAAATAAGACACTAAATCAAGGTCCCGGTTGCCTGTTCAGGTGGATGTTAAAGATCTCGTGGTGCTATTCGACAAGAGAAGGGAGTCTCTCAATGATCATTCACGTTATGGTTGTTTGTGGGACATGGCGGTGCACAAATTGGTTGCCACGTTCGCCCACAAAATACATAAGGTCACATCGCTTTACAGTATATGCTGTGATGCACTTTGAGATATCTCGATGACACATCCACTCTACTGACTCTGGCCTCACTTTATTGATATGCTGTGCGAATCGCAGTCAATCACTGAATTGATTATTTAATTCATTGCTGAATTATCACAATCTTTACTGAGGAAACAGGGAGAAAGGCTCTACATTGATCAGTTGCTCAGCTAATTTAATTCTAAAATTGCTTTCAATGTTCAAAATGAAGGGGTCAGATTCTCCAGAATAACAATGGTAAAATAGAAATGTTATGTTTGCATCTGATATAGCATCTCATCACTTTGTCGAGACATCTCAAAGTGCTTCACGGTAGATATTGTAAAATGGAATTACTGTATTCCGTAGATGAACACAGCAGACAAATGTGCACAGCAAATCCCCACAAATAGCCATCGAGTGAGTGACTAATTTTATTTGGAAGATTGTCAGCCAGGACACTTTTCGAATAATGCCATGAGATCTTTAACAGGGAGGACCTCGGTTTATCGTCTCATCTGAAAAGCAGCACTTCCGACATTGCAGCACACACACAGCACTGCAATGCCTAGACTATAAACTTAAAGTCCTAACGTGGGGTTTGAACTCACAACTTTGTGACTCTGATTTGAAAGTGCTATCAGCTAAGCCAGACTGACACCGAAGAAGGAATAACAATAGTGGACTTAACATTTCGCAGGACAGGGTCTTTGAGACAATCCAACGAATAAGGTCACAATTTCCACAAGAGCTGAGATACCTTAAAAGCTATCAGCTGCACTGCTGGCTCCATGAGGAGGCCATTTAAACACAATGGGACATCAATGCCCATCAAATGAACAAGATTGACTATCTTCATCAACTTACTGGAAATGCCTTTCACGTGGAGCTGGGATGCATGGAAATCTCAGTTTGATTTGGTTACTCATAAACATGGTGATGGGTTTCCCTCAATTGTCAGACACCCAGCTGACCCCCCCCAAAACATCCACACAGTCAATTATTTTGGTACATATATGATCATTAGGAAGCAGTAATGATGCCTGGCGTACACTTTGCCTCAAGGTGACACGCTAGTCAGGTTATATAATAATAATAAATAATAATCCTTACATTTCTTACAGTGCATTTCACATCAGGAGGATGCCTTCATAGGACACACTGTAAAGTGTAGTGCCTGCGTATTTTGTGGGTAAACATGTCTGCATACCTGACTTACATGCCAGATAACCTAGGAAGCAACAACTACAGCAACAACTTGCATTGATCTAGCGCCTTTCACACAAAAGCACTTAATATTAACATTTTATTTACACCGCTTGTGCAATCCCATAGCAGTGAAGATAGTTAGCAGATTCCTGGAACTTGACCTAATAAAAATACAGCATTATTTGCAATTAGATGCAACACAGAATAATCCAGGTAATAATCACACAACCTTCAAGGGTGTACCCACCCAATGTCTTCTCTGGAGTTTACTCAAGGTTAGCAGGGCTGTTCCCCTCCCCCACAAAAGCTGCCTACATACTGCTGTTAACAATGTCCAAGGTGGAATTTTACACATCTAATTCCAAATGGAAATTCAACCAACATTGGTCAACAGTGGTAATTAATAGACTCATAGAACTGTTCTTTGTTAGTCCACCAGCTAAAGACGTCAGTCAATTGATATTCAGCAGACAGAGAGTTCAAAGCATCCCATTCTATTGCACACAATGATCAACCCATTGGCATTCCATTGGCGATTCACTCACTGTCCTTTCCTCACAGTGACACATTGCTCCTTCTTTCACACTCACAGCCCAAAGTGACACCTTGTTCTTCCTTCACACACACAGTAACACATCGTTCTTCCATCACACTCACATACTAACCCATTGCCCTATATCGGTCACTAACCCATTGTCCTTCAATAAGACAATTGTTCTATCAGACAAAGATTGACTCACTCTTATTTCATCTGCACAGGTGAATTGCCTGCTCTTCTGGCACACTCGGATGCATGGATGTTTTTTTATAATTGCTTTCACCCATCTATATAACTAATACAAGATGTTGATGTCATCAGCATAATGGATATTAATGGAGCAAAGTGATTGACATTTCTGACATGTACAGGGTTTGAGACTGGCGTAGGATGTCTTCAATCGGTTCCTACTAGACGAGTGTGAAAACAAACAAACCTTATAAGACGTGAGCGTCAGTTGGTCAGTGCTGAACTTGATCGTGCGCACAAGGAGATTTCAGGGAATTTCTTGCTCTCGTTGTGTTTGAGTTACACCAGGGAGCTGTGCACTGAAAGAGCATTGGGAATCTGAGGCAAGTAGAAAGGCTCAGCTACATCAAGAGTGGTCCTTACCTAAAGATCTTGTCTGATGGCTGTTCTCCCATCACCAGGTCAAAGCCACGCTGAAACACTGTGTATGGCCATGGTCTGTAACAGGCAAAGCAAAGGGAGTTAGTTAGCTTTAGGGTGGAGTGGCTCTGTCGATTGCAATATGCTGTATTCAAAACAAACATCACGCCACAAGTTAAAAAATAAGCGATCAGACATTTCTCTGTGGTGACTTTGTGGCTATGCAGCCTATATAATAATAAAAATCCTTGCATTTGATATTACGTCTTATCACGTCCTCGAGACATCTCAAAGTGCTTCACAGGATTCACTGCACAGCATAGTGACTGTGTATTTTGTGGGCGAACACGGCAACCAGTTTGCGCACAGCAATGTCCCACAACAGCCATGGAGTGAGTGACCAATTTTATTTGGTGGATTGTTGGCCAGGACATTGGGAGAGAGAAATTCCCTTCTCTTTTTACACAGCGCCACGTGATCTGTTATGTCCACCTGAACAGGCAGACGAGAACTTGGTTTAACATCTCATTCGAAGGATGTCCCACCGTCCAAATCAAGATAACTCAGCACCCTGAGGTTGATATCATTGGAATTAACTGGCATAGAGGTCACATTAAAAATGTTTGGCGCCTGAGAGGTAGTTCCACAGCTTTACCTCTGAGGACAAATGCAATTTAATGCTGTCCTTGGTAATGCCCTTGCATTACACAAAAACGACTCGACCCATCAAACTAGTGATACTTTCCCAAGTTATTCTTGTGCAATGTTAATGGGCTCTGAATGGCTTATTATCGTGATGAAACAATCTCATTTATACCACAGCAATTCATTCGCCTTGTGACCCATAGCTGAGCATTCTATTAGTTTGCAATATACAGAATACTTTTGCAGGATAGAGAAATTGAAGCCTGGGCAATACTTTCTGATGCTCTAAAACTTTCTGAGGCTCTTGAAATTTATCAGTTGACCTTCGGAAACCGAGATTCTGTCTGCCTGTTCAGGTGGACATTCAAGATCCCATGGCACAATTTGAAAAGAGAAGCGAGTTTCTCCCGTTGGAGACTGGCAAAGACTGTGGTGATCGGCGTATGGAGTTTGGTGCAGGTGAGGATGTGAGCAGTGGAGTTCTGGATGCCCACTCTCTGTAAGGATGATTTTACACCTTGCTACCTTCTGCTATAATTGTCAACTTCAATTTGTTCAAGTAGCTGAATAATTGGGTGTTTGTGATCTTTTTTTGCATCTGTTTCCACTGATTTTGTCAGATGTAATTCTAATAATGGACACGGCAATCACACGAAATTAGAAAAACGCAACAGTTACAGAATGGTGCAAGGGATCCAGCGTTCATATTATCAGATAATTAGGATGTAACACAGAAGCTCATTAGGATATCTGTCTGGAGCCATTATCACTGCATCTGCAAAGTCAACTCTACCTTAGTTTTTTTCTCTCCCGCCACCCACCTCATCATGGCCTGCGCTGATCATTACATTTATCACAAGGGTACACAAATATTTATCTGCTTATTCCCTCAGCCCTAAGTGAGCACTTTAAAACACAATGATTAAACACTTCTCTGTTGACGACGCAGTGGATAATTATTGAGACCAATATTGTGATCTTGCGCTGTATGGAGTTCCCAGGGTAGGGTTTGCTATGAGCAACCATCAGACAAGCCAGGACTTGAGAGAAGGCAGCTCAGAGGCGACCCACATAGAGATGCCTCACATTTTAAATGAGATTGAAAAAATAAACCCAGATCAATACTTTAAGATGTAAGACAACAGTTGAACGAGGGGACATAGGTTTAGAGTTGCAAAGGGCAATTTCAGGACAGGCACCAGGAAGTATTTCTTTACTCAGAGGAAATTCTGGAGGGCTGACACTGGATAGGCGGAAGTAGCTTTTTTTCACCAAAACCAATCTTGTGATCTCGTAAGCGCTTTGAGATGCTATCCCACATGAAAGTCACTATATAAATACAAGTTCATGTTGTTCTTGATGATGAAGGAAGTCAATATCACATCATGGGCTGAGGGGATTTTTCTGAATTTACATTCTCTGCAAAGTCATGAACTCCCATTCTGTTCCCCCCTTTTTCCCCCACCCCACCCCCACGCTCCCCAATCCACAAGCCTTGGCTCTTGCCTGCATGTATCCAATATGCTCTCTCTGCACGTTCAGTTGGCCTTCTTTGGTGACAACCATATTAACAGTTAGCCTGGGAGTAAACATTTACGTATATCCCTATTGGCAGTGGTGGGAGAAATGGCATAGAGGGGGAAACAGAGACTGAGTTAGGTTTGTGCTTGTATGAATCTCTCAGCAGTCAGCAGTGGAGGCTAGGGAGAAGGTTCTCTACACAGGACCTCAGTGGGGAGGTGGAGGAGGGGAGTGGGTGTTGATTCCGGAAAACCCGAAGAGAGAAGCGTTATAAACAGTCAATTAGGCCAGTGTGACAGAATGCTTTAATGGATCCTGGCACCCAGGGAACGTAGTCACTTGCGCTAGTTCTCAAGGTGACATGAAGGATGATGTAAGCGGTGCGAGGGGATGGAGGCAGAGAGAGAGCAGAGACTGGGCCCTCGCAGCCACTTTGTGTTAACGATGCATCGAGTGCTCTGTAGGTCGGCCCATTAACAGCCCCACAGATGGGTAAGCTCTGAAGTGTGATTCTTGACCTAGTATCGTGTTTATTTTTAAACAATATTTTTCCTGCTGTTGACCCCATCTTGAGCCTCTGTCTCTCTCTCTGTCTCACACTCTCTTTCCCTCCCTCTCTTCTCAGAGCCAAGAGGGAGCACAGTCTAGCAGCATTCGGAAATTTGGCCCAAAGGAGCGGAGATGATCACTCTGTGATGATCCCAGCATCATATAGTTGTTGTTATAATAATAACAATAATAATCATCCTTGTACAAGCGCTCTTGGACGCTGCCCTGCGTGAGGGGTACTATATAAATGCAAGTTGTTGTTATTGTCGTTATTGTATTTGATATAGTCGCTGAGACGTCTCAAAGCGCTTCAAAGAATATATAGTCAAATAGATTGATAGTGTATTTTGTGGGTGAAACCCGGCAGCCAATTGCGCACAGCAGTCATGGGTTGAGTGACCAAAATCTTTTTGAGGGATTATTACCTCCCGGAAAGCGATCTGCCAATTGACTAATAATCAGGCTCCTACTTCCACTAAAATATTCATAGAAATAAGAAAACAGTATCGATGCATGCCTTAAAACAAGAAATATTCAATCAAGTAACATTTATTTTGTTGGCCAACCAGTAATTAGACCATTAATCCAACAAGCTTCTCCAGTACTGCCAGCGTTAGCAATTGTGGTGAGTTCCATTTTTTTTGTGTGTCCCCAGATTTGGTTTACAAAATATGGTCCCCTAACACTGGGATGATCTTGGGATTGTGTATCAGAGGCAGCCTATTTCCTCACATCACACTGGGATGGGGTGTTACAGAAAGATGTTCAGTCCTCCTGATGTGAAAGGCACTATACAAATTTAATGTGTTGTTGTTGTTCAGAGGATGTTTGAGGGTGGTGCTGGCATTCAGTATCACACTGAGCTGCTGATCATCAGTCAATGACTTTCACTTTGAGCTCGCACTCCATGCTGGTTACCTCACACGCTCTTAATTCAAGAAACGAGGATAATTAATCGACAAGAGATGGAAGTTCTTTTACAAAATGATGAACAGGTGGGAGAAAGGTAAAGGAAATTTACACCGAGCCATAATGGCTTCAGAAAGAAAACAAATGAAATGTTTCCTCTAATTTGTTATCAGGACAATTCATCTTTTTGCTGTCATGTCATGCCTTCACACAATGCTCACAGGCACATACATCAGATAGTTACACACACACGCACACACACATACACACGTATACAAGCACATCATGCAAATACACACTCACACGTAAATATGAGCACACACACGCCCGCACATGTACGTGCATGCATACACAGAAACACACTCATGCGCACACATATTTACACACACAAACGTATGTACACACACATGAACACAGACGCAGCCACACGCGCACACACGATGGCCGACATATTTCAAATGTGGTCTCACCAGTGAATCAGTACCAGCTGTCGATTAGGTTCTGCATAACACTTCCTAAAATTGCCCTCGACAACCCTGAACCTGTGTCCTCCTTCCTGTGTGGGTGTACGTGGAAAGATTGTTCCAGTCCTGTCTGTTTGTTCCGATGCAACCAGGTGGACATTAAAGATCCCATCTCGAAGCGCAGATGATCTCTCTCGGTATACTGGCCAATATCAGTCTGTCATCCAAATTCACCACAAAAAAACCCACCTCTCTTCTCCACTGATCACTCACTTTGTTTCAGTTAGTGAGACACAGCTGGTCCGTATGAGCTATCTTGTTTGCTTGAATTCAATAAACTTCAAATTAACTGTGTGAAGACGTTTTATCACATGCAGGTAATTATTATGATATGAGGAGGGGGAGGGTGGTGGGGGAAGGGAGTGGAGTAATTCCACTTGGTGCCATCAAGGTAAGCGTGGAAGACAGGCAGGCCCCTTAGTCTAGGATTCCAGGATTGTTATTCAGCATTTCATCCTGTATAACACAGCCGGGATAATTGGTAGCTGTCGTGCCTATGAGTCAGAAGGTCGCGGGTTCAAGCACCACGTCAAGATGTTTAGCTCATAGTCTGGATTGTGGGCAAATTGGCTGCCACCTTCACATATAAACATAGTCTTTACAGCATTGCTATCAACCGCTTTGAGGTGTTATGGGTGCTCGAGAAAAAAGATTATTAGTATCCTTGACTGCTTACAATCCTCCGTGTCACATTTCAATAGTGCCGGTTGCTTTGCAGTCTGTTATGAACCAGATTTTGATCTAGTTCTTTTTTGAAGATGCTAATAGATTCAGTGTTGAACGATTGAAGCAGCATTTCCTTCACACCAGGGTTTGATAATAATATAATAATAATCCTTGCAGCAACTCAGAGCGCTTAACATTGGCGGAGCCTGACTCCGAGCCAGGGCGGGAGGGGGAGGTGACCGTCTGCACGGTCGAAAAGGAAGG